TTTGTGACTCATGACTGGTAATACTTGCCTTAATTGGTTTATTAGCCTGATCTATGAGATTTAATAGCTTTAACCAACTCCTAGAGGGTCTTTGATTGATTTATTTACCTTATTGAATCTATAACTTGGTTGTTAATTGATTCTCCCTAATTTAAGGGGTGCTTTCCGGATTCTGTTGAATTGTTTGATTGGATTTAGCCCCAATTAACTATTTAATTTTACTTGCATACTTTATTTGGAACTCTTAATTATTCTTTGCCTTATTTGTTTTACTCTGCTAAGTGCTATATAATCTCCCCATTCTGACTTTTGAAAGGACACGAACATTAGATCATCAACACTCTCACACTCTCAAAGCTCTCTATTCTCTTATGTTACTTGTAATCCTTGCTAACCCAGCCGGCTGTAAGCCAAGACTGGCTATTTGCACCATCTCTACTCTATACTCTGTATCCTCTCTTTAACCGGTACGTCCTGATTCAATTTGAATTCCAAAACAATGTGTTTCTTTGCTATTTCAATTCATTAGTTATGACTTCCAATCCTGTTTATTATTTTACTCTCATGCACTCAATGTGTAATCAGCATGCCTAGATCACACTGCCTAACTACTGTCTCACTTAGCATATTGGAGTTTGTTCTGACTAGTATATTTATCCATAAGAATCTATTTACTGTTTAGTATGCCCAATCCTGCCTTGTGATAATTGCATGCATATTGTTTGCTCATTAGCATGTCCAAGCTACATTGCTTGTTTACTGATTCACCCAGCGTGTCTTAATTCTGCTTGTTCTATCTAAGATTAGTATTTCCAAACTATGAATGTTTTCATGAAGTGCTGGCCTAGTTTGTTCATCTAAATCTTGCTTACTCTACTTCACTAATGAGATCCTGCTAAGTCATCTAGCCCTACAAAGTACTCTGACTGTGTGGTCAAGATCTATGTGTTCTCAACATGTCTTTGCTGTAACCTTTGTAATTAACTTACAATTTCTTGAGAAGCTTGTGCATCTGTTTGCTTATACATTAGGGTGTATTCTATATGTCCCCAAATCCCTTTCTCCCTATATGTAGAGTCTGTTTGCCCAAAAGTGTTTTTGAAGCTGTTTGTTTTGTGACTTGCACTCTGATTTCAAAAATGTCCTTCATGTTTTTCTCAAACTGTTTTACCACTCAAACTAGTACTGGTCTCAAACTCTGGCATATCAGGGTTGTCACTTCCACACTGCACACAATCAGTCTTTATTTGAGGTAGTCTGGGTGTGAGCACTGCCCGGGATCCTTGAGATCCTTAGGGAACTTTGACATACCTGGACATGAATTGGGCTATGAAATCTTGAGCATTTGAGACTAGTGAAGGCCTGGTACACCAGGATTTGCTTTGGTCCTACTTCAGGCTCCCTATAGCTTAATTTCTATTCTATTTATGTAATTTTTATTCAATCATTGGTTTGTAATAATTATTTGTAAACAGATATTGGGGTGACTAGTGAAAAGGAAGGGTAGTTGCATACTGTGGGTAAAGATGGGTAGATAACATGCCTATAGGGTTCATTTTGTTCAATCGTGTTTGTTAGATAACATGCCTATAGGGTTCATTTTGTTCAAATGTGTTTGTTAGATAACATGCCTATAGGGTTCATTTGGTTCAAGTGTTTTTGTTAGATAACATGCCTATAGGGGTTTCGCTTTGGTCAAATAAATTCTGCTTGTTTCACCTTATATATAATTAGACATCATGCCTATAGGATTAAAAATCAGCTTTAAGCATAGAAATCATGCCTATAGGATTTAAAATCAGCCTTAATCGTAGAAATCATGCCTATAGGATCTAAACCAGTTTAATTAGAAATCATGCCTGTAGGTTCTAAATCAGTTAATCAATTATCTTACTCGTTTCTTTAATAGTCCTCAACGCTGTGTTAATTAATTAATAGAAAGCATGCCTATAGGATAAAGAACTTCAAAAAAAATGTCTTTTTCAGAAATGTGACTGCATATACGCACTTAGGCAAGCCTTAGGGCGTTAAAATTAAAACCAGCGCTGTCTATAAGTGAAATTATCCAGGTTTAACAAGCTGTAAAACCAGTAGGCAAACTGGCTAGGATCCTGCTACTTCCCTAAAAAACAAACGCTGCATGTTCTGTTTTTTGTGATATCATGTTCTCAGGATTTCTGAACTTCTTTTGAAAAGTTGTGTTTTAGACGTGCTGTTTGACTGCCTATATACATGTGGAGGTAAAATATGAGCCTTCTAAGTGTATGTCCTTATTTGTTTTTCCTATATGTTATTTGCCTGTCGCCTAGATTTTTGCCTTTTTATAAACCTTAGGCTGTCTAGAACTATCCAGATTTAGGAGGTCCCAAATTCCTCTAGGACCATAAGAAATGGACGAGTAGCAGCACGCTTAGAGATCGTTAATTAAACTCGCTCATATAACCATTAAGGGGTGGGTAATGGGTAGTAAAAGGATATGATGACTGCGCGCTAATGTCACGTGTAGCCCCTCATTGAGGAGTGATTACCGGGCATTGCATGGGTATGATCCTGTAGGCTAATCAACCTAGGACTCCCTTTTCCCAATTCCATATGTGTTTAAATTTTATAAACTTTCTTCTCTTTACATATACATGCGCAAATTGTTCAAGTCTCTCTCTTGCTCCCATTACCTGAGTCGTACATGTATTTAGAATATGCAAACATACCTTTATTTGCAAATATGTGTTTAAATTGTTTACTTGTTCAAAATGACTGATTCATATAAGTTCGGCCGTGACCCACCGTTGTGGACCGCAAGGGGTGCCTAACACCTTCCGCTGAAGGTTATTTCGAGCCCTTACCCTAATCTCTGATAATGCAACTAGTTACATGAGTTAATTACTTTAGGTGCCCTAACGCGCCATAATCCGTTAGGTGGCGGCTCTTCAAAATACCCAATTCCCAAAAGGAAACAAGTCGATTCCCCATGAATGTCGAAACCCGGACTTTTACCGCGAGGAGGAAAAAAGGGGGCGCGACACAGTGATGCTGATCATGGAGGAGATCTAGACAAAAGGAAGTCTACCTCAGGATATGTTTTCTTACTCAGTGATGGCGCCATATCATGGAGTAGTAAGAAACAATCATGTGTATCACTATCTACGATGGAAGCCGAATATGTGGCTCTCGCATCAGCAACTAAAGAAGTTGTTTGGTTGAAAAAGTTCTTGGAAACTTGTTGGATAGCGCAGAAAATGCTGAACCAGTGTTAGTCTACTATGACAGTGAAGTTGCAATATCCTCTACCTAGGACCCTAAGTTTCATTGTAAAATCAAATACATAGATATCAAGTATAACTATGCGAGAGACATGGTTAGACGTAGGGTAGTGAAAGTGAAGTATGTGCCTACAAAAGATATGTTAGCAGATCCATTGGCCAAGCCTTTTCTAGAGATGCATTTGTAGACACCCTAGGTCTCAAGGCTTGCGTAGACTTTGATATTTTTCATTTTGTTATTTATTTTTCTATGTTCACAAAACTGATGTTCTTTAGTTATCAATAAAGTTGATTTACATACATACATATTTATATTACTGAATTTTATGTGCATTCTTTGTTCATTTATTTTTTATAAGTATATCGGGTAGACAAGAGGTTGGCCTTCTCACTCAGGAAACCGCCTCCTTATCTTAGTGATGTGAGGAGATGAGACATGATTTTAAGTAAAATTATCATAAGGATAATTTGAGAGCTATTCGCTTAAAATTAGAATGTCTCTTAAACAATGACATAATGTCATTAGGGTGAAAAATGTTCACCTAGTCTACTTTGTGAGCCAGATATGAGTTAAAATGATATTGTAGATCAAAGAACTCAAATTTAAATACTTATGATGTCTAAATATCATCTGTACAACATTCTTTATGAGATAAAGACATACGCTGCACGAGAAAAAAGAGAAAATGTTGTAGCACATGTCTCATACCATATGTGCTAATGTCGACCAATTGGGTTAATATAAGTCCATTCTCAACTTATTGTTGAGTGAGACCCGGAGTTTTTATGATGGCTCTAGATTTTGTACCCTCAAAGACTCCGATCAGATAATTGAGACTTAGTGTGATGTTAGCTATCTTAGTGTATTTCCAAATGATCATGAACACAGATTCGGTCTAGCAGAGCATATCTAGAAAAGCAGTCATACTAATGTTAAGGGAATCATGAGAAGAGGAAGATCACTGATAGAATCTCATTTATTTGTATTCACTGGTGCACCAATTATAACTTATGAGTTATGATTGTGAATACAGGAAATAATGATATATGAGATTTTGAGACTATGTCAAATGTGATTTATTTGATCTAGGGTACTGCATACTTTATGATCTACTTGCAGGTTTGCACTCGACGAGACGCTATATACTCTTAACAGATGTATAACACTTAGCTCAGAGTATGCTGGTCGCACGGTCTACTTCCCTGTATGAATGATTGAGGAGATGAGATGAGAATATGTTTCTCAGATAAGATGAGCACTCCCATTATGTATGAGTGGGAGATGTAGGAAATAGAGTTCATCCATAAGGGGTGCTCTTAGGGCCCACTAGGGCAAAGCACAATAATCTTAGTAATTACTGTAACCTTAGCTATCCCTATATAAGTACACATACGGTGTACTTCTAAAAGAGAGAACACGCAGTACATACGGTGTACTTCTAAAAGATTGAATACGCGGTATCTTTTCAACGCTCTCTCTCTCTCAATCCAACTTTGGGTTTAGACTGTGGCTTAGGGGATTGATCCAACACACTGTGACAACCACCACCGACCAGTAAGCTTAACCGCGGTTCATCCATTTTCGCTTTCATTACGAAGAACAAGTAAGTTCTCTGTTTATAATTTACGCGTAATCTAATGTTTTTAGATTTATCGCGTTTTCCTTCAGATACAAAAATTATTAGAAGCTAGAGAATTAAAGTCAAAAATATTGGACTCAACTCAAAGAAAATGAAGACATCCAAGAGATCTGAAATAGTTGAAACCAAGAGAAAAAGGAACAATAGTAAGCTGAAATTGCAAATTGATTTGATGATTTGTGTCTGATTAAGGGATACTCCTATTATGATTTATACATAATTGGTGGCTCAAATGATTCATTCTAACACGAACTAGCTAACACTAAAATGTTCTTAATTGCAAATAAACCAAACACCTTGCTCAAATAATGTACTTCCCTCCAGCTATAGTTCATAATCCATCTTACTTGCTTCCATATTTTTCTCAGGTATATTTTTCTGTATCTCATTTTGAATGCGATCTAGCTTCTTTTCTTGGGGTTTTCCAAGCCCTGTTTCGATTGAAGCGTCCATGTCGTCTTTCTTACCTTCACCTTTGTTATCGCGATAAATTGCATATAAAATCAACTGCACTGATCCTAATAAAGTTCCAATTGCATTTGGTACCTAGAAAAAAATTAAGATTTAGTTATCGACATAATTAATTTGGAGATCAACCAAGTAATTATCATGAGTTTCTACAAAATAATTAAAATTAAAGAAAAAGTCACTGAATGTTTCAAATTAATTAAAGCAACTTACAATAATGAAGGGATCCTTTCCGAGTATGCCATAGATTGCCCATGAGGTACTAGAGTTGAATACAGATAGTGACAAGAGGAATGGCATGTATTCCACACTTTTAGATTTGATCACTTGCCTCTGCCAAAGACAAAGGAAACAAAAACATCAAAATGTATATCTTAATTATATTCTGCATACAAAATTATAATTACTTATTAGTAGTATATGAGGTAAGATAAAAAGACATACCATAACAGTAAGAGGAGCACCAAACATCATAATACAGGTAATAGCAAAAGCTAAGCCACAAAGGAGCTTTCTTTTATTGCCATGGAGTGTTAACACAGAGACCAAAGCAACGATTGAAAATATGGAAAGAACCACAAACAGAATTCCAGAGATCTTAAGCTTCTCCCTCTTTGGTGCAAAAATGATGAAAATTAACACATAGATTGCCTCCAAGCCACCACCAATAGAAGCCAGTACTGTTAACAACGTGTTGTTCCGTGACACAAAAGGCAGACCATACCTGTTTTTGGTTCATAAGAAGCAGAATTCCTAAGTTAAACTCAATATTTGTTTTAAGAAAAATGAAGAAGGTAAAAATCGACGTACATGTCTAATTGGAACTTTATTCAGCTTCTAAAGTACTCATGTGCTAAGGTCATGTCAAGTCTCATTGGCAAAAGAACAAAAGGAAGTTTGTAGACATTATATATAAAGAAAAAAACAGGAAATATACACAACTGGTACTCAATTATTTTTTCTAAATGTATTTGGCTAAAATGATGGAGTTCCTACCAAACGTTTTACAAATTCAGCCAAAAACAAAAAAGAAATATGCAGTTGAAACAAATAGACATTATCTTAGAAGAAATTTAAAATAATAAATTTTAGAGTAAAGTCCACATTATATGTTAAGATGAAGCAAGAAGAAATACATAGTTGTAAAAAATAAATCATTATATATGACTATATGACAATTAAAAGTTAAAAATTAACCTACTTGGAAGCTGATTTTTAAATTTTTCTTCACTCCTACGCTTTTGAAAGAGAGTGCCCCCACAATCTTTGCCACATCAGCGTCCAGGCGGTAATGGCTCTCAAAAGGCCAAGTTGAAGGAGATAATTAAGACCACGAATAATTTAAGGCTGTAACTAATAATACATGCCAAGTTTAGGGGGGTTTTAGGTATTCTTGCCCATAAATAAATAAAGGTATCTCATTTCTAACAGATTAAACTTTTAGATGAGATAAACCTGCATTTCAACATAATTAGATGAGTTATATATATATATCCTTAGTCTGTCGTAGGTATAGTGGCTGTGGTCTGGGATGGTAGAGTAAGGTCATGTCTTGAAGGGGGACAGGGGGTGGGGCAGGGAACAGGGGGTGGGACGAGAAGCAAGGGAGGTAAGGGGAACAAGGGAGCCTATAGGTTAAGAACTGGGTCAAGGAACATTGACGAGTAAGTCTATAGAGTTGGCAAAGATTCTTTAGAAGAGGAAGGTCAATATAGCTTGTGTCCAGGAGACAAGGTGGGTAGGATCGAAGGCGAGGGATGCAGATGGGTATAAGTTGTGGTACTATGGAGTCCTAAAGGGTAAGAATGGAGTGGGTATTTTGGTGGATAAGGAACTTAGAGAGTATGTGGTAGAAGTTAGGCAGGTGAATGATAGACTAATGACCATTAAGTTGGTGGTTGGAGAATGCGCCCTAAATGTCGTTAGCGCTTACGCGCCGCAAGCGGGGTTGGATGAGGAGGTTAAAAGGAATTTCTAGGAAGGGTTAGATGAGATTGTGTATAATATTTCGCTTGTTGAGAGGTTCTTTATAGGAGGGGATTTCGATAGCCACATTGGATCAGGTGGTGGTGGTTATGGCAAGGTGCATGGCAGCTTCGATTTTTCTGAATAGGAACGGAGGAGGTACTTCGCTGTTGGATTTTTCTAAGGCATTTGAGCTACTGATTGCAAACTCTAGTTTTCCGAAGAGGGAGGAGCATTTGGTTACTTTTCAAAGTACGGTGGCAAAAACTCAGATTGATTATCTCCTCCTCAGGAGGTGTCGTAGAGGGATGTGCAAGGATTGCAAGGTTATTCCGAGTGAGACCCTCGCGACGCAGCATAGGATCTAGGTGATAGACGTCGGTATCAAGATAAAGAGGAAGAAGAGGTTTGTACGAGGACGATCGAGGATCAGGTAGGGAGTCTTGACTAAGGATAAAGCTCAGGAGTTGAAGAGGAGTTTATCGGCTGTGGGAGGTTGGAGGAGTAGTGGGGACGCGAGTGATATGTGTTTGACAACGAAGAATTGTATAAGGAAGGCGGCGAGAGGCGGGGAAAGAGGTGTTAGGGGTCTCGACGGGTTACTCTGGCAAGCACAAAGGCGACTGGTGGTGGAATGAAGTGGTCTAAGGTAAAGTGAAAGCGAAAAAGGCGGCGTACCTGAATTTAGTAGGGAGCATATGCGAGGAGGAGAGGAGAGCGAACAGAGAGAGGTATAATGTAGCTAGGAAGGAGGCGAAGCTGGCGGTCATGGAGGCTAAGACATCGGCTTTTGGCTGTCTGTACTAGGAACTGGAGGACAAATGCGGGGATAAGAAGTTATTTTGTCTGGCCAAGGTGAGAAAGAGGAAGGCTCGGGATCTGGACCAAGTGAGGTGCATCAAAAATAAGGACGGTAGAGTATTGATGGGAGAGGCCCAGATTAGGCTGAGATGGCACACTTATTTTTATAAACTTCTGAATGAAGTAGGGGATCAGGATATTGTGCTAGGTGAATTGGGACGTTCTGAGAGTCACTGAGACATTAGGTATTGTAGGCGCATTAAGGTTGAGGAGGACGTGGGGTCTATGCATAAGATGAGTAGGTAGAGCAACCGAGCCGGACGAAATTTTGCTAGAATTTTGGAGGTGTATGGGTAGAGCAATTTTTGAGTGGCTGACCGGACTGTTTAATATTATTTTCAGGACGAAGAGGATTCTATATGAGTGGAGGTGGAGTACAGTGGTTCCGTTGTACAAAAACAAAGGTGATATCCAAAGTTGTAACAACTATAGGGGTATCAAGTTACTAAGTCATACCATAAAAGTTTGAGAGAGGGTGGTTAAAGTGAGGGTGAGGAGGACGGTGTCTACATCCAACAACTAGTTCAGCTTCATGCCGGGTCGTTCTACTACGGAAGCTATCCACCGTATTAGGAGGTTGGTGGAATAGTACGGGGATAGGAAGAAGGATCTGCATATGGTGTTTATTAATCTGGAGAAAGCGTATGATAAAGTTCCTAGAGAGGTTCTTTGGAGATGCCTGGAGGCAAAAAGTGTGTCGGTTGCTTACATTAGGGCAATTAAGAACATGTATGATGGAGCTAAGACTCGGATTAGGATAGTGGGAGGCAACTCAGAGTATTTTCCGATTGTTATGGGGTTACACCAAGGATCTGCGCTCAGCCTGTTCTTATTTTCCCTAGTGATGGACGCACTGATCCACCATATTCAAGGGGAGGTTCCATGGTGTATGTTATTCGCTGATAACATAGTTCTGATTGATGAAACGCGAGGCGGCGTTAACGAGAGGCTGGAGGTTTGAAGACAGGCTCTTGAGTCTAAGGGTTTCAAGTTGAGCAGTACTAAGATGAAATACTTGGAGTGCAAGTTCAACGCCGAGCGGGGGGAAGCGGGCATGGACATGAGGCTATGATCATAGGTCATCCCCAAGAGGCAGTTTTAAATTCCTTGGGTCGGTTATCTAGGGGGATGGGGAGATCAACGAGGGTGTCACACACCGTATAGGGGTGGGATGGATGAAATGGAAGTTAGCATCTAGAGTTCTGTGTGACAAGAAAATGCCACCCATACTCAAAGGTAAGTATTATAGAACAGTGGTTAGACCGACCATATTGTGTGGGACTGAGTGTTGGCCAGTTAAGAACTCACATATCCAGAAGATGAAAGTAGCAAAAATGAGAATGTTGGGGTGGATGTATGGGCACACTAAGATGGATAAGATTAGGAATGAAGATATTCGGGAGAAGATGGGCGTGGCTCCTATGGATGACAAGATGCGGGAAGCAAGGCTCAAATGGTTCCGGCACGTACAGAGGAGAAGCCCCGATGTGCCGGTAAAAAAGTGTGAGCGGTTGGCTTTGGTGGGTACAAGAAAAGGTAGAGGGCGGCCTAAGAAGTATTGGGGAGAGATGATCAGGCAGGACATGGCGTGGCTTCAGATTTTCGAGGACATGGCCCTTGATAGGAAGCTGTGAAGGTCGAACATTAGGGTTGTAGATTAGGAGGTAGTTGAGCATATTTCTACTTCGTACCAGTGTGAGGCTAGTCTGATAGGATTTTGTCTTAGATTGCTAGTGGTTGATGTTGTGTTCACACTATTCTTCCGTTTTTCGTAGTGTTGGGCCTTATTAGTGGTTATTGTTTTTGCTTTTCATCTATTTTCTGGTTCTTATGATGCTGTTACTATTTTTATGGGGTTTCTGTTGATGTTACTGATATATTGTCTCTTTTCGACTTCTTGAGCCGAGGTCTATCAGAAACAACCTCTCTATTCCCTCGGAGTAGAGGTTATAAGGTCTGCGTACACACTACCCTCCCCAGACCCCACTTGTGGGATCTTACTGGGACGTTGTTGTTTGTTTTTTATATATATATGCCTGCTCTAACACACTCGTGTAGACTTGACTCTTATTCTTAGACAAGAAATGTGGTTCAAGTATCGTGATAGCATACCATTATAAATAAATGTGTTTCCACTCTCACAAACACAAATTAAACTTTTACATGAGTTGGTAGCATATTTCAACACTATATCTTGTTCCACCTTACCTCTCGATATCTTGTTTTATAAATCACATGCTAAAATAAAAGCTTGCCTTTTTTTAAGTTACTGTTTAGAAATCAAGGAAGCGAAGTGGAAAGAAGGAGACAATAGGAGTTGCACTAATGTTGTGTGGCAGACTGTTTTCTATTACGGCTTGGGTTTGTGAAAATTTGTCATCTATTAAGATTAATTGACAACTAATAATTTCTTTCTTTTTATTTTATAAATACTAATTTGGTTACCGCCCCCCCCGTCCGGGTCATGGCTCAGACGCTAAAGTAGATTAGAGTTCAAACTAAAACTATAGTGATCAAGAGTTTAAGCACTTAAAAAAAGTTGGAAAGAACAGCTGGCTTACCAAGCTGAGAACAAGCAGTTGAAGAGACTCATTAAATATGGCACGCCCGAAAATTTCTCTGTTGATCTCTTCATGATAATCCTTTTGAATGTAATTCTGTAGTGTCAAAATATGACAATTCTTTTATTAGTCGTATTGAGAAAAAACACACACATGCATACAGAAAGAAAGAAAGTTAGACTTGAAAAAGACTTACAAGGGTGCCAAGAAGAGTAATATGCCAAAAACATTTCCTATTCAAAGAAAAGCAGATGAAGAAAAAACATATCACAAACAACTCAAAGGAATTCAACTAAGAATAAACACAGGAAACAAAATATTAATAGGACAATGAAATTAAAATCCCACCAAAAAGTCCGAAGGTCGTATGGAGAATTTTGATAACATGACTCATATTGGCAGAGAATTCGATTCTCAAAGAATGATGAGAATTAGTTTATCCCAGTACGTATATATAAAATGGTACAGGCAATTAAGCTTGAGTTTCTTGGGTATACATACATAGAGCCATAATTTGGTGATTTGCTGAGGAATTATCCACTACTTTTTGTTCTGCACTAGAATATTCAGTGTGATCCAGGCCCTACATACTCCACTTAATTGCTTTCAATCATTTGGTTGTTTTGATGAATTAGGGTAAAACAGGGAAAATAATATAAGCTATAATTTGAAGCCGCGAATTTCTTACTTAAACATTACATTATCCATACTTAAAGCCGATTAGTATGGATAATGTAATGTTTAAGTACTCATTTCGTTCCAATACTATTTAAATTGTCTTCTCAGTAATCATGGGTGGAGCCAGGGTGCGGAAGGGGTTCAGCCGTAGCCTACTCGCCGAGAAATTATACTATATATACTAGGTCAAATTTATTATTTTTTTATGTAAATATAGTAGATGTTAAATTTCCTTAACTTTTTTTTGTTTATTTCCTTCTTTATATTGTCAACTGAAATTCTTGGCTCGTCATTGTTTGTACATAGAGGTTCTAAAAGTCAAATATTTAATCCTCTACTGACATACAGGTCTCAGTAAATTCGTGGCAGGATTGACTAGATTATAGCGTAAATTGACTAGATTAACATCCAAGGAAACAAACTGGAGCATACTTGATACGCAATAACGTAAGATAATTGGTATTTTTGACAATATTATGATTTTCATTTTATGACACTGAATCCCACCATGACATTTACTTATATAACTTTAAACGGAAAAATGGAACAAAACGGAAGTGCTATCCTTGTCGGAAACAATGACAATATAGTGAGTGAAGAATATTCTATTAAAGGTATATTTTCCACCAATAAAAGCTTTTATAGCTAAAGCCTGATCCATATATTTCCGCATAATTTTTTGGTTTTTCGTTACATTTATTGAGTCGGAACAACTCAGCTGCCGAGTAAATGTATTTAATTATTTTAGTGAAAAAGAGAAAATTTACTCAATCTTCAGGATTTGATAATTTGACACTGCATCACCTGATGGGTACTTTGTTTTGTTATTGTGCTTGCGATTCTTTTTTATTTTTATTTTTTGTGCTTGCGATGTTTAGTGTCTCTAAACCACATGACAATGAAAGCATCTATCGTTATCCAACACTTCCTCTAAAAGAAAAAAGTTTCTTTGCTCATGGCAAATTATGTGTAAAATCAAAGCACAAAAACAATATTTCATTCATTAATAAAATCATTCAACAAGAACAAGAAATGATTAGATGAATGGGTTTAAGGAGTGTTATACAAAATCTAATTAAGTTAAAAGGCTATACGTCTAGAAATATTTTTAAACAAATCAAAAGAACTGAACTAATATTTGCAACAAATAAATGAATGCAAGACATATATCTTTTATATAAACTGATACATTTAACTATTACGAGGTAATACGTAATTTTACATTTATTTTTTTATGATTGTTAAAGCTAAATTGTTTAGTTTGGTGTAAGCAGTGGCGGAGCCACATGCACCCAAGAGGTGTCAACCGACACCCATTCGCCAGAAAATTACACTGTTTAGCTCAGTAATTTTAAAAAAAATATGTATATATACTTTATAATGACACGCCTTGATTTCTTGATGAGTTTATTTCTTTATATTTTGACCCCCCTTAATGAAAATCCTGGCTCCGCCATAGAATCAAGAACCATAAAGTTTGTAATTCAATTGGTCAGATGAATAACTCACCAACCAGCCAAAAGCTAATTCAAGCACTACATATGTTTTCATCACTAAAGTTAAGTCGGCCAGTGACCAAAAGCTTAGCCAAAATCAAAAGCACATTCAGGAGAAGAGAATATGCCAAAAAAATTAATATGGAAAACTGACCAAGAAAGCATAAAACCAACCTGCATTGTCATCCACAATATTATATTGTCTAAATCCTTTCCTACAAGATCCAATGAAACAATAAGCTGCCATTTGTTTAGACTTCAGATTTGCTTTTCTTTTCATCCCAAGTTCAATCTCTAATTACAATATCCATAGATCGAAATTTGAGATGGTTTTTGTATGGTCTCGTTCCTTGTTCCTAATCCAACGATTCCCTCTAGGCTTGATACAGTATGTAAGAACTAGGGGCGGGCGTTCGGACAGTTCGAATTGAATTTAAATTTTCAGTTTGTATTTTTGATTTTCGGATTGAAGAAATGACAATCCAAATAAGTTCGGATTGGATCGAATTTTTTAAATTTGGTTTCGGATTAATCGGTTTGGATATTTTGGATTTTCGGTTTTGAACTTACAAGTTGAGATGTTTCTTCTTTTTACAAAAATGAATATCCAAATGAAGTACTCATGTTAAATTACCTGAAAAGTTACTCATTCTCACCGCAATCATCCAAATAAAATATTCAAGTAATGAAATTATTATCAAGAAAATGCAACAAAGACATTAATACGCCTGATAAGAAGTAGCAATAGTAAAACCATATTCAAAATAAAAATTATTCTGACAATAACTTAGTAATTAATAGTGAATATATGAGATAATTTCTAATGGGTAGGGTATCAAACTTATTTTCTACTGGCATATGGATAATAGACTAAATATAAAGTATAAAAATTTCAGATTTTCGGATATCCAAAAATTCGAAGTACCAAAGCCACTATCCAATCCGAAATCCAAAATCCAATCCGTAATCCGAAAATCCAAACTAAAACTCCAAAAAATTCGGATTTCGGTTTGAATTCCGGTAGGCCCACCCCTGGTAAGAACTCTTCTCTAACTATTTAAAGGAAGACTCAAAGTCGAAGCACTGCTTCAAATATACATATGCAAAGCTTGACAAGAAAATTAGATAAAAACAGAAAAACTAAAAGCTGCTAAAAAGTTAAAAAGAAAAGATTACACAGGGATTGAACTTTCTCTATACTTTTGAACCTAACTCCTTTTTCATTTTGACATTAGACAAGTGACTATAACTTTTGCTCCAAATAGAGTTAAGACAGGATAATACTTTTCAAGTACATGGGTACAAAAGTTCAGAAACTTTGTGTACATATGAATGTTATGGATTTGCATTCTCATTTTGGATGTCAACTATCTTCTCGTCTTGGAGTTTCCCAGTACTCATCTGATCTACTGATTCATTAATTTCGTCTTTCTTGACTTCTCCTTTTTTATCATGATAAACTGCATATAAAATCAACTGTACTGCTCCTAATATAGTTCCGGCAGCATTTGGAACCTATAAAACAACAGTTTTGTGAGATTTAACCTTAAGATTTGTCAATGTTATTAACTTTCTCGTCATGAAATGACCCAAGTATAAGTTACTGAATAAAATAAAAGCTACTTACAAAAATGAAAGGGTCCTTTCCAAGCAGGGCGAAGATTAACCATGAAGTACTGTTGATGAAAACAGATAGAGACAAGAAGAACGGCATGTACTCCACGCTTTTAGATTTGATCACCAGCCTCTGCCAAGGGAAAGAGAAGGAATGAAAGAAAATAACATAAAAGAGTATCTTATTTGTTTCTTTCTTTTTTTCAAGCCACTTATTTTATCTAAATTTGTCTAATTCATTCAGATCATGTACATAATTGTAAATCATTAACGCGTGTACTTAATGAATTATGAAGGTGACTCTTTACCACTACCATTACACTACCACCATCATCACCGCCAACCAGCTCCACTATCAGCGACCATGCATAACTATCACTGCCAGTCATTTCCACCAATAACCACCTCCACCCCGAACCTCCAACATACAACCATCACCACTACAAACACACCTTCATCACACAGGTACCACCCCTAACCACTGCCAATTTCCATCACACAACCACCTCCACAGCCAACCATCACTGCAAAGCTAGCTTTCACTTATGGCCACCACCGATACAACCACGTCCGTCAATTACCACTGCACAACCTCCACCAGCCAGCCACCGCTATCAAATACAATAGATGTTAGGCACCACCTCTCAACCATCACGATCGACCGGCATTACCGTCAATTCCCACTACCGCTAGCTCTTAGAGCGTGCTTAATCAAACAATTTTTACAACACCAAGTAAATTAAGATTTTCTTCAATATTTTATTAATTATTACTTGGTATTCTATTTGAATTTAATATTTATTAATCTTAAAGTGAGTTTAAATTAAACACATTCAAGTGCTGAGATAAAAGGCATCCTTAAATATTCCATGCTCAATTTTAGAAGAAATTATTTTATAGTAATAATTAAATATGTTTTCAAATTCAAATATTGTAATCTTAAATAAACAGGCCTAAGTCCACAGTAAAAACATGTAAATAAAATCAGTGATATAGTTACCAGAGAATAACAAACAGACTGACATAATAAATTAGCCAACTACTATGTTGCTCGAACTCTCCGAAAATATCATCGGGGTGTGCATCGGATCCTCCGAAAGTGGTGTGTTTTTGGAGTATCCGATACGGTGGCGCCAGTATTTTGGAGAGTCCGCGTAACATAGTTTTTAGTACCCTATTGAGGATAATTACTTAGTTTTATGGAATACACTTTTATTTTTAGTTTATGACAACTTTTTTTTGGAACTATTTACCTCCCGTTTGGACATAGATTTTGACTACTTTTTTTCAAAAAAAAGTTTGAAAATATTGTCTGTTCATGGAATTTGATAGGTTTAAAAAAAAAAAATTGATCAAGTTCCACAAACTGGTTTGGGCCAGTTTTGGGGCAAAACTATTTCTTCCACTCACAAAACTTCAACAATTTTTCAAGTTTCAACCAAATCTATGTCCAAATGCTAGCTTACTAAGTATCTTTGTTTTACCCTTAATAACATGACTTGTCGTGACCTACTTGATATAAAAGTTCATTGTTTAAGGGTAGAGAAAATGAAGAGATATGAAACTCTCACCATTATTCATTTAAAAGGATATGTTTGGTACTTCACATATATTTGGCTAACATATCAAAAGTGTTCTTTAATTCGTTAGATTTCATACCTAGTCAAACACCTTCACATCAAATGGG